ACATAGAAAAACAGAATACTTTCATAATCATACAATACATAATGCAATTTTTTGTCTCTGTCAATGGTAAACATGTCAATGTTCTATACTGAGAAAAAAAACCCAAACGAATGCAAACTGAAGCAAGCTAAGAAAAGAACACATATAATACGCCATTAAAATAGTAAATCTGTGCCATCCCATTATCATCAAAAAAGATTCTTATCCACAGAGAAGATGTGAATCTGAAAACAGTGTGTCAGAACAAATGTAGAAATACCAGTGTCCTTGTGGGAACAGTCAAAAAGTTAAGCATTATTGAAGCCACACCATTTTTATTTGTACATTAAAGAGCTTCTCTCTGATTGCCCTCTTGACATCCTCCCCACATAAACACAAAGTAGAACAACAAATTAATAAGTTGTGATAGTGATAGTGAAGAAGATGCATTGAAACCAATGTATCAGGAAGGCGCCTACTCAATGTTGGAGAGACCAAACTGCCTACAGAAAAGACCAAATAAAGAACAGAAAAGAGACGTGGGAAGACAAAGTATTATTACATGGCCAGTACATTAAAAAAAAAAAAATAGCAGGCAAAGCAAATAACAACAAGATTTTGCAATGGCTAAGAGCAAGAAAATTGAAGAAAGAGGCAAAGGGGCTAATACTGGGTGTACAAGGCCAAATCTTAAGAATAAATGAATACAACGCCAGAACTGAGAAGGCAGCAACAAACAGCAAGTACTATCTCTGCAAAGAAGCTGAAGAAACAGTGGATCACTTGGTTAGCTGCTGCAAGATCACACAGACTGACTACAAACAATGGGGTGAGGAAGTAGCAAGAGTAGCGCATTGGAAAATATGCAACAAATACCATTTTCCTACAAGCAAAAATTGTGCGACCATAAAATAGAAAGTCATAGCAAATGAAAAAGCTAAAGTGCTGTGGAACTTTAAAATTCAAACAGACAGGCACTTGCCACATAAACCCCAGACATAATAATTGTTGATAAAATTGATACATTGATAAAAATGCCAAATGCAGTCCAAACATCTGACTGACTGTGCAACTGACCATAACAATAGAAATAGAAATAGCACTTAAACTTATACACTGCTCCATAGTGCTTTATACCACTCTCTGGGCAGTTTATAATGTCACCACATTTCCCCCAACATTCTGGCTCCTCATTTTACTGACCTTGGAGGGATGGAAGTCTGAGTCAACCTTGAGCCCTGTCAGGTTTGAACTTCAGACTGTGAACAGCTGTTTGCCTGCAATACTATATTCTAATCACTGTGGCACCAATAACAATTATTATTATTATTATTATTATTATTATTATTATTATTATTATTATTATTATTATTATTATTAATTTTCAAAATACATATTCAAGTAGTGATAATAAATCCTAAATTAAAGTAATCTGAATACTTCTTTCCTATCTCAGTGAAATATTATGTGATTTCAGGAAAGCATTTTATAAGTTTGTAAAGTAGTAAAATTTAGGTCTGATGGATACTGAGTGATTTCTGTTTCCTAAGAGTGAAAAAATGGAATAGAAGTCAAATCTGCAAATGATTAAAAAAGAAAGTTATAGCGTAAATCTCAAATTATTGGAATATAATTGAATAGTAATGAAACTAGCCAAATGGAATTCCACACAACTAAATGCAGGAGCCTGGATTTAAAGATTCCATCCCACTTCATCTTCACACAATATAAAACACAGGAACAAGCAGCAGCCAGCACTAAATATGGAGAGGATTGAGATTGAAAATCTGTGCATCACCAATCTAACTGTAATCTGAATCAACAAGCCAATATCTTTCCACACCTACAAAGTAACAAGCTTCTTTTTCATTTTTGTTAAGAAACCTACTTTCCCGCATGCCTTGTGTACAAGCCCTGCCTTTGATACTAGATATTGCCCTTTAAGGGACCAGACAGAGAGCCTCCATATGTCGAACTGTATGCCATTACTTTACCAAGTCTTTATCAACGTATCTGCTGCTATGGTTGGTACTTGGGTAGGATTACACAAGCACAAAGTATCAGAAGGCATAGGCCCATTCTGATTTCTATACGCAGAAACTCCCCTTTTTGATCATATGAATAAGGCTACAACCACATTACTCTACACTACCTCGTAGAGATCTATGTTCAGTTCTAGGCACTGCATTTTCAGAAGTGGGGAGTTAAACTGGACAGTTTCAGAAGAAGGCAACGAATAGGAATATGGAAAAGAAAGGCTACAAGGAGATATAAGAGTATTTTATATAATATAGTATTAGAATATTTTATTTCAGCAGTTTTATAAAGACTCGGATACCATGTCTCATTTTGTTTTCTTTGGGATTTCAATCAACCAGAATAGAGCTGCAAGGGACCTTGAAAGCCTTCTAGTCCAACCCCTGCTCAAGCAGGAGACCCTATACCAGTGGTGGCTAACCTTTTCGGGCTCCTGTGCCAAAACTTGTGCGTGCGCTTGCACGCTTGCACTCGCATGCCAGCACCCAGAAGGCAGTGCATGCCCCCCACGCCTCCTACGCATGCGTGCGTAATCCCCACCCCCGCCCGCCCCTTACCTGCACTACACCTCACAGCTGATTTTCAGTGGGTTTGAGGCCTTTTTCGGCCTCCCAAAGGCTTGAGGAAGGCTTCTGCAGGCTGAAAACTAGCCCTGTTTCATCATTTCCGATATTTTTGGAAAAACAGGAAGTGATGAAACGGGACTAGTTTTCGGCCTGCAAAGCCTGCAGAAGCCCTCCTCAAGCCTTTGGGAGGCCGAAAAAGGCCTCAAACCTGCCAAAAATCAGCTGTGAGGCACGCGCATGCCCAGTGAGGTAAGTCTGCCTGCAGCTCGCGTGCCGGCACAAATGGCTCTGTGTGCCACCTGTGGCACGCGTGCGATAAGTTCGCCATCATGGCCCTATACTATTTGAGACAAGTGGCTGTCCAGTCTTTCCTTAAAAACCTCCAGTGGTGAAGCATTCACAAATTCTGAAGACAAGCCATTCTCACTGTTAGGAAGTTTTTCCTCAGTTCTCGGTTGCTTCTCTTCTCGATTAGTTTCCATCCATTGTTTCTTGTCCTGCCCCTCTGGTGCTTTGGAGAATAAGTTGTCCCCCTCTTCTTTGTGAACCTTCTCGTGCTTCATTGTTCACAGATAGTTAAAATAGTTTACCCAAAAAATTGAGATGAGGTGTACATTCTAAGGACAGTTCTTCCTTAGATAAGATTTAGAGGCCCTGGCAAGGAAGAAAGAAAGTTCCTTGTATGGAATGATGTGAGAAGGGAAACGAGTGACTGTTTAGTGGGCATTCAATAGGAGTGGCTGATCGTAATGTACCTAACCTCTGCTGAATGGAGGGAGTCCTCAGGGCTGCTCACCTAGTACCTTGCTATCATCTCTCTTAGGTGAAAATAAAGGCTTAATTTAAAAATAAGTAAATGAAAATATTCTACTACTATATTATATAAAACACTGTTAAGAGGAAAGGGTGAAGGTACAGAGTAAGTTTAGCGTGGGGGAGGAAAGATTAAAATTCCAGCACTCTTTATATTATCTGAAGAAGTACTACAGGGATGTATTCCTATTTGCCTTCTGTACCTAGAAGGCAAAAAACAAGGCTTACAGGCTCAGGTTATAGGAAGTTTAATTTTGCTGAATATTACAGAAAGCCTCTTGATACTGAGTCATTTGGCCAAACAAATGATGAACTGCTAAGCTCTTTCAATGGAGAATTTCCAGCCAAAACTGGTCTCCATAGGTGCTCATCTCTTAGATTTCTGTACTGGGCAGGGGATTAAGTCAGTTGCCCTAAGGGGCCTCCTCCATGATATATTTATGTAGGCTGGTTAGATGTTATTGTTTGGGACTGAAAAATTAACTAAAACCCAACTGTGTTACAACACTCCATATGTTGCATATATCTGGATTAATATGTTCCAAACAAGCTTTGCACAACAATGAATATGAGAGTGACACCAAAGAAATTCAGTGTACTACCTACACAGAACTTCCTCTTCTGAAGCCAAGTGCTACTAGCACGAAGGCATTCCAACAATGAAATCACTTTGTATATTATTTATTTGTTCAAGGACGGAAATAGTTTGATGAATAAAGAAGAAATGCTATTGTCAAGGAAGCCCAGAGCATACAGACTAGGAATTCCACATTCTTTTGCTTACTATAACAAAAGTTAGTTCTTCTGTTGCCCAGCCCCAAGCACATTTTTAAAGGAAAAAAAAAACTAATTTAAAGGTCCTCTGCTTCTCTCTCTTAACTCTTCAAAAAAAAATCTAAGGAATAGCCAGTTCAAAGTATTGTGAAATTCCTGTTCCTCCCTCCCTCCTTAGAATGAAATCAGATCCTGCGCTTCAAATCAGACATATTTGAAGTGCAGGTTTGATTTCATTCTAAAGATAAATCAATGCAATGTCTGTGTTAATGATCCTGATTACTTATTCAAAAGAAAGTTGCAGAATAGTATTGGGGAAGGTAATTTCCCATACCTTTACATCCAAAGAAACCTGAGCAGTGTGTCACTTGTATGGGAACAATCTGGCAACTGGCTTTAGTTGCCTTGCTGTATGTATATTTTAAGGACATAAGTTGGTGCAAAGAAAAGTCCAAGATTCATCTCACCTAGCATCCTGTTTCCAATGTGGGGCAACTGGATACTTCCAAAAACTGAAGCAAGGCATGAAGGACTGGTCTCCTCTGTTGCTTTGTTCCACCAATTTATATTCAGAACTGCAACGTCTCTGAATACAAGGTTTTAGTAACCATCATGACCCATGGCCTTTGGCAGGCTCAACCGTATTGCTTTTTCGAGTTGTAAAACAAGAAAATGCTCCTTGTTTCTTTTGTAAGGCACTAATTAAAAGTCCCATTTGGATCAGACATACAACCTCTGCAACGTTCACAATCGTTTTGTGCAAAACGACTTGCCACCTAGCTATGCCCACCGGCATTTCGGGGGGTGGGGAGAAACGTACAATATCGGGCAGCTGATTAACCGCAGAGCTGGGCCCTCCTGCCGCCGTCTCTGCAAGAAAGAGGCAGCTCTGCAGGAAGTTCGCCCGGAGTCAAGTGCTAATCGGACCATGTGATCGCTGTGCCCGATTAGAGGTTAGTTCTGGGGAGCTCCAGGCTAGAAGAGAACGTCGGAGAAATCTAGTGTGGAAAGCATGTGACAGAGACTTTTTGTGTGCGTGTGTGTTTTAACAGGCTTTGCAGCAGGAAAGAGACAGAGGTCTGGGCAATACCCAGCCAACAGAACTATCACCAGACAAAAAAAAGGCCATGTGAAGTTCAGATGCTGTTTATTAAAGACGTTTGCCCAGCAGAACTGACCGTCGAGCGGGCAAGAACCTAGACGCGGGGGATCGAACGAAGGTAAGGCTCTGTGACTGAAAATAGGTGACAGGCAAGGAACCTTTGTAGTAGAGGCCCTGCCTGCACCTTTCGGGTCTTTTTTCCTCGGGAACCGAGGCTAACTGTGAAATCCTCGCACCAATTGCAATTTGGCAACTAGCATTTTAGGATCAAAGAAAAAAGGATTACCCCCTTTTTGCATAGTCGATTTCAACTAAAGGGGGGGGGGGGAATTACAAAGGATATCCAGGAAATGAAAAGTGGCAAGTGAAAGAGCACTAAGTCTTTCTGCTCTTTTTCTTTTCCAGAAATAAAAAAATATATATAAATTAACTATTACTTTAAATGTTAATTGTATCAGCCATTTCTAATATCTCCTGATTAATCAATGCAAAGGATGAAAACAAGTTAATCTCAAATGCTTTGTCTGGAAAACTGGCCAGAGTGCTTGGAAAGGCCATGCCTATTTACGAATTAAACAAGAAAACTGGTCTTGCAAATACATTAGCCTGCCAGAAATACTTAATGGCAAACAGAAAACTGAGAGCTAATAAGTGTTTGCAAATCTGTCCAAATCCAATAAGTCTGAGCAAATGGCCTGCAGATCCAGTACTTTTTTACTATCATAATAACACTGATTAAAAGTAAATTTTATTAGAATTCAATAACATTTTGTTTTGATTGTGTGCTGCAAGTGGAACTCGGCTCTAGAGACACATACAAGTAGTTTTCTTGGCAACAAGATGGAAATGGTTTGCCTTTGCCTTCCTGTGTGTTGTGGATTTTGTTTTTCTTCATTGACTTGACTTGCGTGACTGAACTGCTAGATTTTCTCTTGGTCTCCCATCCTAGAACAACCAGGAACAGGCTACGTGTTACTACCTAACTGGGCAGAGGGAATCTTAAGCATTTTGGGTTGAAGTGTCAGTGGCATGAACTCATTTCTTCTATTCGCTTTTGACCAGCAGAGAAATCGACTAAGATGAAGGGTTTCTAAGACTCCGGCCTAGTTGGCACAGTCTCAATATGTGCCTGCTTTACTAAACATTGCAAACATTGTCCCGAACATGGTTTGTGTGAGTGTAGAAACTGCCTCTGTATATAGCTTGGGACAAAAGAGATGCTCACTGCAAATAAAAGAAAGTTAAGTGGTTAAATGTACTTCACTTACACTACTGACTAGACTAAATAGAAGTGAATAACTACATCTTTTCTGCTGTAGTTATAGGATGACTTGGCAATCCCTGGCAAGGGACAGTTTGCATGTTTCATTGCATTGAATTATGCACCTGAGCAGAGACGACCATTGATCTCCTTCTGTTACATCCATTTATAAATGGATATCTAAGCCATCTTTCTGTATTGAGATCCATTGAAAATAGACATTGAAGTTGAATATAAAGCTAAGCTAATCCTAAAACCAATTAGGTGTGTAAATAAACTTTGCATTGATCTTTTCCTTAAAAAGAATGGATAAAATGTCAGTTGATGGTCATGACAATGTTTTTATTGGATATAAAATGATCTGTTAAAGCTCTAAATGCCATTCTTGGGAATACTATGTGTTTATATTACAAGAATGGTATAGTACCCACATTTTAATATGCTGAATACTGCATGACAGATGTACAAACAAAAATCATATTTAATACATTTTGTGTGATTTGGACCCATGACCTAACTTCTCTTATCCATTATTAACTAATTTCTTAGGTTCTGTGATGAGAAGGCCCTACAGCACTGGTATCAAACTCAATTTCATCAGGTGATGTATTGCGATGTTTTATGCTTTTGTGGAGCTGGGGCAGGGGTGGGATGCTACCGGTTCTGCCTGGTTCTATAGAACCGGTAGCTCTGAAGAGCAGCAGACACCGAACCAGTTCTGTGTCTGCTGCTGTTTGGCCCACCTACCCGCCCGGGCTCTTACCTGTCCTTTATTTCCTGCTTTTCAATCTCAGCTGCTTTGCGCGGCACAGCTGAGGTTGAAAAAAGCAAGAAAAAAGAGGCTTTCCAAATGCTGTGCACCCACACACAGCGCTTTACAGCTGTCCGGATGGCACAGCTTAATTTTTTTTTACACGTGCGCGCAGCACATGCGCCCGCAAAACATTACACCAAACCGGTAGTAACACCGGTTGAATCCCACCCCTGATCTGGGGTGCATGGCTTGCATGTGACGCATCTGGCCCGTGGGCCACCAGTTTTTGCCTGCCCTAGGGGACAAGGGTTTAGACACTGTACTGCTTTGTTGTCAGGGCTTGAGATTCCTAGTTTTCCCTAAAAATTCCTTCTAAATCTCCCCCCACCTCCACATACACTTCAAACAAGACCAAAATGTTAAATCCCTTCTGGCAAGTAGAATATCATTGTGGGACATTTGGAATCTGACAGGTGTTAAAAGATGCAAAGGGAAATCTGCAATATATTAAATGAGGTTTCCTCCTTTGGGGAAAGTTCTGTTCTATGGCAAATAATTGCTATTTAGTTACTCCACACTAAAATGTTAGGGTCCAGAAATGCTCATCAAATTAGGAGCAAACTCCTGATATATTTATTTTATTTTTTTATTTATTTTGATTTGTCAATCGCTTACAAGATAATAGGTATAAGTATATACATAGTTATGAATACATGAAATGGGTACATATAAGAAAAATAAAAGAAACAATAGGACAGGGACGGTAGGCACGTTGGTGCACTTATGCACTCCCCCTACAGACCTTTTAGGAAAGGGGTGAGGTCAACAGTAGACAGTCTAAGGTTTAAGTTTTAGGGGTTTGGGGAAGAAACCACAGAGTCAGGTAGAGTATTCCAGACATTGACCACTCTGTTGCTGAAGTCGTATTTCCTGCAATCAAGTTTGGTGCAATTAACCTTGAGTTTGTATCTGTTGTGTGCTCTTGTATTGTTATGGTTGAAGCTGAAGTATTCATTGACAGTAAGTCATTGCAATGTGTGATTTTATATACCATACTTAGATCAGACCGAAGGCGGTCTGTATATATAGTATATTGTCTGAGGACAATGGTATTACAAGTCATTAGAGTTGTTTGTTTGTATCCTTCCTTACTACTTTTACACATAATTCAAGGTGGTGAACATACCCAACACAACTTCCTTTTCCTGTTTTCCTTCCAACAACAACCCTGTGAGGTGGCTTGGGCTGAGAGAATGACTGGCCCCAAGTTATCCAGCTAGTTTTCATACCTAAGGGGGCGGACTTGAACTCATAATCTCTAGTGGTGCCTTAACCACTAGACCAAACCTTTGCTGTGAGAATGTATTGATGTAATGCTGACTGAGAAACTGACTGAGAGCTTTGGAGTTTGCCTGATTCACTTTGGACTGATCATTTTGATCTTCAGCATTGGGCAATGGCAAATGGCTGCATTTTCTATTTAGTTTTATTCAGAAAAAAATGGCATTAACTTTGTACAGGTAGTGCTCAAGTTGCAACTGTACTGGAGTCTACCAATCAGTGCCATCACATGACTAACCTAATTTTAGGACCTTTTTGTGGCAGTTGTTAAGCTGTGGGCTAGTTTTCCTGAAAAACAGAAATGCCAGTTTTTTGCAAAACCATCATAAACTGCAGCAGTTAACTATGTATGATGGTAGAAACAGACATAACTGCAGGTTGGTTGCTGAATGTCCAAAGTGCGATCATGTGACTGTGGTGGGGTAACCATTGGAATTGTAAATTTGGGTTTTTAATACCCTCTGGATATATGTGTTGCAACTTCAAATGATAGCTAAGTGTCTGGTCGTAAGTTGAGAACCACCTGTTCTCAACTTCTATGAAAGATCTATTAATTGGGGGGGAGGTGTTTCTTCTGAGCTCTCACCTCAAAACTTTTTATTAACGTATCTTAATTCAGTTACTTTAGGAGAGAATTCAATAAAATGTGCAGTCATAGTATGATGTTTATTTAGCCCAAAGGTCTTCAGCCTTGGCAAATTTGAACTAACATGACTGGAGGAGGAATTCTGGGAGTCGAAGTCGACAAGTCTTACAGCTGTCAGGTTTGAAGATCCCTGATTTAGCCATTTTTTGTTTGAAGACTTTGTGACAGGAGCCCCCTTTTGTGGGGAATACCCTTGCTATTGTTTTAGATATATTATGAAGACTTTGGCAAAAGAAATTACAGTTCATTTAGTGACTGTTTGAAGGTACAATGCAGTGATGGGATTCAATTTTTTTTACTACCGGTTCTGTGGGCGTGGCAGGGGAAGGATACTGCAAAATCTCCAGTCAGAGGTGGTATTTGCCGGTTCTCCAAACTCCTTAAAATTTCTGCTACTGGTTCTCCAGAACTGGTCAGAACCTGCTGAATACCACCTCTGGTACAATGGCACTGAAAAAAGTGACTTACGACCATTTTCTACACTTACAACCATTATGTCATCCCCAGAGTCACTTGATCAAAATTCAGATGCTTGGCAACTGGCTTGTGTATGATGGTTGTAGTGTCCCGGGGTCATGTGATCACCTTTTGTGACCTTCTGACAAGCATAGTCAATGGGGAAGCCAGATTCACTGAACAACCATGTTACTAACTTAACAATTGATTCACTTAACAACTATGGCAAGGAAAATCATAAAACGAGGCAAAAATCACTTAACAAATATCTCACTTAGCAAGAGAAAATTTGTACTAAACTGGAATGATACCTTATCCTGGTTGTAATAAGTTGTGTATGTACAGGACACACCATAAAAAGAATATTTGCACTATCCAAAATCTGGATCACCAATGAATACACATATAATAGAACATTAAAAATGAAAATATAATGGAAACACACAAACTTTAATGATTTAAAGGGCCTGCATAGATGAGAAGCATTTGCTGGAGGCTAGTAAAATCATTGAGATAAACTTTTTGGTCAGTGGCCATCTTTCTCCTTCATTTCTGGGACTTTTATGGTTCCATTATTTAATATAATCTGACCTAAAACAATAAGGTTTTTAAAACATCATTGCTTTATTGGGCCTGGTTAAGCGGAGAGTGTACTTAATAAATGGCAGAAATTGAAGAAGCATAAAAGATTGGTTTGATATATTTCTCTCTTCATATCTAAATATGGCTGTTGGGAGTTGAGATGCAAACATTCAATTTTAAGTTACTCGCCAGCCATGTGTAATATGTCATCAGAAGATCCATTATGCTCTTTATTATATGCTGTCTAATGAGCAAAAACATACCACACGGAACTTCCAGCAATATCTGGCTTCCTGTTGATCAATTAAGCAAATAGCTGTGTTCCTAATCATATCCAAGTAAACAGGTAAATTGATCTGCAAATCTAAAAATCAAATTTCATGTGGCAATATTTGCTCATTCAAGCAGAATGTCACATTTGTGTAGGGGCAGCTCCGTATTAATATGGGAGGAATACATGAGTGGCAACAATTATTTCATAGATATGGTCTCCAAATCAAATATAAATAAATAGATACAATTGTTTAGACAGACTTTTCTCCTAGTACAGTTGGTCCTCAAGTTACAACAACTCACTTAGCAATGGTTTAAAGTTACGACATCCCCAAAAGTACTTACGACATAGTCCCAAAGTTACAAATGTTGCAGCACCATGGCAGTCATTCACCCTTATGACTAACTGCAGAGACACTGCAACATTCTCCCTGCCTATGATAAAGTAGACCATAACCTACTACTTGATAAGATAGAAAATGTGGTATAGACAGCATCACCACCAGATGGATTTGTAACTGGTTAACCAACCACACTCAACATGTAGTCCTCAATGGAACTGCATCCACATGGAGGGAAATATGGAGTGGGTTTCCACGAGGCTCTGTTTTAGGCCCAGTACTCTTCAACATTTTCATCAATGATTTGGACAAGGGGATAGATGGGGAACTCATCAAATCTTCCAGTGACACCAAGCTGGCAGGAATAGCCAACACTCCAGAAGATAGGCTTAAGATACAGAAGAAATAGCCAACACTCCAGAAGATGGGCTTA